TGATTCTGTGATTGGTGTTGTACGGTTCACGCTGGATGGCCTCTAGTTTGTATTTTGTTGCTGGCAAACATGGTATAATAATAGATCTTGTGTTTTCCCCTGCATTTATTAAAAATGACAGTTGTGACTTGTTCGGATGCTCTGAATTTAGTTGAGCAGACTACAGCTAAATTCCAGGTACGCGCTGCATTGTTGAGTTAAATAAGTAGTAGTCTGGAAAACACGATAGGGAATGTGCTCTCTGCAGCTCAAGTCAGTCATACCTTAACCAACATTTTTGATGAAGAGCCAAACCCCTGATGTGCAAGGGTGTCTCCAAAGAACCATTGTTTGAGAAGGTTTCTGCTAACTGGGGTGCAAAGGGTTAAGAAATCCTCCAATAAGCCGATAGGACTGGAATGTATTTTGATGGTTTTTGGCAGGTCACATTGTTAGAAGTGGCTGGTGTTTTGTTTAGATAAGGAACAGAGGAACTTGGTGTTTGTAACCCATAAAATGGATGAGTAATTAGTTATATTATCTTATGTCAGCACTTTAAAAAATAAAGAATGGATGAGTAATTAGTTATATTATGTTATGTCAGCACTTTAAAAAATAATCGGTGATAGAATATTCCAGTCACATAAACACTAATGGAATTATGTGAGGTAATGGAGTATAAGTACCTGGAGTTGGCTGTGGGATTACATGTGCTGTATGGAGCTGGTTAATGAAGGTGTAAATGACCTTCCCTGAACAAAGCTGTGCTGCAGTGGCTTTTCAGAGCTTCCCCCAAGGCACCACCGTGAGGCCTCCTGTGCCTTTTGTCTTCAGGCTGCTGCCACTGGGAACGTGAACGCCAGCCTTGTTCACAGTAACTTTGCTTGCTGTGGTGAAGAAAATGAACTGATCTTTTGGATTTGTACAAACACACATCTCTAGAACAACTTTATCTGTGCATATGGAACAAAAGGCACATCATGAATTCACTGAGCTAGCAGTAATTTTTAAAAATTAGGATTTTACTGAACAGGCATCTTGGGGTAAAGGAGGCTTAGGACTTAATAAATATTCCAGCCCCTTGATGTAGTTCCTGGCTTGTGAGAGAGGAACCTATGCTGACCTATTCAAAAGCAAAATTTTGCATATCAAGTTGTGGTGGTAATGCTTTAACACTGATTTTACAGCACAGCAATCAGGACCCAGGGTACTTCCTTAGGTCACTCTTTCTCTGTGTTTTTCCTGGTTTACTTCGCCAAAGTGTCAGCAGTAAAATACCTGTTGCAGAGCTCTACAATAGTTAGAGAATAATGGGAGGTTATATGTGACTTGCAGAAGTCAAATTGTAAGGAAGTCAGCAATATTATTTGCAGGACTGTGGTAGTTTGGATGCGTGGCCCTTGATGGTGTAAGCTTTTTTGACAGGAGTGTTTCCTGGGACCTGTGTAGAGTGTTTCCAGGAGTTTCTGATGCCGGTTTCTGACTGGCATCAGCCTTGATTGAGGGATAAATTTCTACTTCCTGGGCAAAAGAGTCAAGTGGGCCAAAAAAGAAAGCTCAGACTAACTCGTTCTGACTGCATTTGGCTGAGATCCTCTTTCCTGGATGTGAATTTTTGTTTCCTCAGGCTTCCATGATGTTTGCCCAGTCCACGCGGAAGTACACGAGCTCCGTGCTGCTGATCGTGCTGCTGTGCTGCATTCTTCCTCCTCCGGCACAAGCCAGCAAGGTGAGTGAGCAGCTTCAGCCAGCACTGAGCAGTGTGTAGTGCAGCGGAAACAAAAGAAACAGAGAAGGCAGTGTTTTCTGTGAGAGTTGGCAAAGATAAGGAGTGCTGTAGCAGATGCGTATTTATCACCGTAGAGCTGTGCCTGTATGTGGCAGTAGCTCTGCCCTGCCTTCTGCTGTGTTCTGGAGTTTGCCTTTTGCAGTTTGTCTGAAAAGTGCCTGGTGTCTGGAGCAGAGGTGCTCGAGACATTTAAAACTGTGACGTTATTGATGTGAAAGAAGCAGTGCAGGAAGAAGGGGCATGATGTAAAGTCCTTCCTCTTTTTGAGAATGTTTTGCCTTTCCCACACCCCTGGATGGGGCTGGGCAGCAGAACCGTACGCACGAGTTCACTCGCTAACGTCTCCTCTTGCTTCTGCAGAGCTCGGAGGACATCCGCTGCAAGTGCATCTGTCCCCCGTACCGGAACATCAGCGGGCACATTTACAACAAGAATGTGTCGCAGAAGGACTGGTGAGTTGGGGGTTGAAGCCAGAGGGGTTGGTCTATCAAAGCCAACACTAGGAGTTTCCAGCCTGGGCATTTGCAGAGGGAACTGTTTTGGTAGGTGCTGCTCAGCCCCAGGCAAGGGGCATGTTTTGAACAGTGATGGAGGAGTCTGGGAGGCTTAATTTCTTAAGCCACGGCTCCCGGCAGATGTAGGGTGTACCCTCCAGTCCCTTTCACCTGCAGAAGGTGCTGGGACAGTCTGTCCCCTCTGAGGGGAGCTCTTAAAACCCGATCAGCGTTATCAGCCTGAAGGAAGGCTGGGACACTCAAAAGGCACCCCAGCCTCCTTCCACAGAGCACTGCTTGCACTTGTCCTGTTGCTGATTTTGGTTTCTTTGGCTTGCAGCAACTGCCTGCATGTCGTGGAGCCAATGCCAGTGCCAGGGAATGACGTGGAGGCCTACTGCCTGCTGTGTGAGTGCAAGTATGAGGAACGCAGCACCACCACCATCAAGGTAACGGGGGGTCTGCTTCCTACGCCTGCCTTCTCCTTGCCATGCCATGCCATCCCAGGCACAGCTAGACTGGTGTATTCCTGGAGAAGAGCCCAGAAAGGGAAAATAAAACTCACAGCTAGTACACAGTCGTGGTGCCAGGGGCACCATGTCTGAGGCAGGAGGGCTCCTGGCAGGGAGGAGCAGGCTGCACAGAGCCCCGTCTTCTTGCTGAGGATGTGGCAGTGCCGAGCACCTCTGACCAGGACCCATCTTGTCAGTCTCCTCCCACATGTAGCACGTGTCCTAAATGGGCACTGAATCAGCGCTGTTTATGCAGTGATGGCACTTAGATCTCATCGTCCTTCCTGCGAGTGCAAGAGACTTTGTAGTGAGCAAAACTAGAATGAGAGAGTGAACATCAGCAGGAGCTGTGAAAGGAGCTTCCTGGCCTCTGTGGTGCTTCTTACCTACACTGCTGATCCTCTTCCACTGTGCTGTGCTTGCCTGCAGGTGATCATCATCATTTACTTGTCTGTGGTGGGGGCACTGCTGCTTTACATGGCCTTCCTTGTGCTGGTGGACCCTCTGATCCGGAAGCCAGATGCTTACACGCAGCCGCTGCACAATGAGGAGGAGAACGAGGTGAGGCTGCGCTGCCGGTGCGTGCAGGGCGCACATGGGTGGCTGCGGTCACGCTGGGGATGGGGTGGTGGGGTGACAAGAGAATGGCTGACAGGGAAACAGTGATCTTGTGCTTGTCGCCTCTGATGCAGTCTGGGACCAGCACTGTTACTTTTGGGGCACTTTGCACAGGTAGATGTTCAGACTCAAATCTGTGCAGATCAGGCAGAAGCACAAGGAAACATTCCAAGTACGAGTTCTGTGTTACAAGCCCAAGATGAGACCTGTCCCCTGGGGTGGGGGGTGGCTTTTTGCCATGTGGCCTGAGTTTGGTATCTCCGTCTAGATGAAACCAAAAGCCAAGCGGTTCCCGTTTGTGCAGTGTCCTGGGTGTAGTTACTTGGTGGTGAGCTTCCAGGGAAGGATGGGTTTAATTATTTGCTGAAACATGGAACTGGCCTCTCTTCCAAACACTTGAAAGAGCAACCTCTGAGGTGCTGTTGTTCAACGCTGCTCTGCGGCCCGGCCCTGTTGTGTCCAGGCTGTTGTTCCTTGTGCTTCTCCCCAGAGCAGAGTTTCACTCAGATCCCATCTTTTTTGAGGACATTGGCATACAGTATCTTGGGTAGGATTAAGACCGAGCAGCAAAGAGCAAGCCTGTCTCTCTTTCTCACACAGATTTTGGGGGAGAACAAATTCCTTGCTGTATGAAATTCATGTGATTTCAGCATCTGGCATACAACATCCTTCCCCGTGGGAGAGAGGCATGCTTTAGAGGGAATGATCAGGCCTGATTCTAAAGGGATTTCAGAACAAGAGCGCCCTGACTTGTGAATCTTCTCCCACTGATGCCTCCCTTCTCTTGTAGGGCAACAGAGGAGACTGAGATGGGGATAGTCTCGTAGAGGGGAAAGCGTTGGAGGCAGAGCTGGTGGCTTGTGTGGAGCGGCAGAGTGGCTGCGTGCCCAGTGATTAGCTCTCGTCCTTGATTGCATCTGTAGCTGTTTACAGGATGCAGGGGCTGTCTGAGACTTGGTGCCTGTGCAGCGCGTGGCTCTGTGACACAGCTGTGCCTGTGCCTGGCGCAGTTTAGGGGGCGCAGAGCGAGGCAGAGCTCCGTTGCACCACAGCAGTCGTTCAGATTTAGCTCTAGGTGCACGCTGTAATCGCCTGACACTAGGTGAGGTTTACCTTAGTCCACCCCGCTGGACTGTGAACTCTTTGGGATAGGCTTTGGTGTTCATGTGCCACCACGGATCCCCACCCAAGGGGCCCCCTGCCATCACCGCAGTGTAAATGCGGTTGGTTGGAGCAGTCTGAGCATCAGGGCTGGACAAAGTCCTGCAGCACCGTCCAGGAAACAGATGAGCAGCTCCTGCGTGAGGTAGCGCTGCCCAGTTTCAGGGGGGGATGCAGGTCGCTTTAGCAGCGCGGCTCCTTGCAGATTCCTAGCAGTAGCTTTCCAGCAGAGGTTTAGGCTTAGGGCGCTTCCTCTCCTGGGGACGTTTTATTGGAGGCCTGTGACATTACCGTGGGTGGTCCCTAAGAGAAAGCTTTCCAGCTGGAGTTGGGCTCTGAAAATGAGGTTCTTCGTCAGGACGACTCAAGAATTGCTCTTTCAGTTGAAATTTCTCCCAGAGTGGAGCTGCCACCTTCTGTGTTGGGGCTGGGCACGCCGTGATCTCTTTCACCATTCCTTTCCATTGCAGGATGCTCGTTCCTTGGCCGCAGCCCCCACCCCATCCAGCGCTAGAGCCAACTCAGTGCTGGAGAGGGTGGAGGGGGCCCAGCAGCGCTGGAAGCGCCAGGTGCAGGAGCAGAGGAAGACAGTTTTTGACCGCCACAAGATGCTGAGCTAGATCTCCGAGCTATGCAGCACCACTTCCCAAGAGACAGGGTAGCTCCGCCGGCTGAGACAGACAGCAAGTCATCCTTCGGGACATCCGTGGTGTTAGACTGAAAGCTCCAACCCTCTCCGATTTACTGTCTCCATAGAGAGAAGCAGACCAAAATGCTTGCCTCTTGTTTTGTCCCCTTGCCCTTACCCCTTGCCTGGCTGAGATCCGAGCTGACCGCTCGCCCCGCGGCTGCGCGGCAGTGCTCTCGTGTGCAGCACTGCTGCCGGGTTCAGGGCCGACTCAAGCCGGGGCTACGGCTCCCACGTGCTGCGCTCGGCTGGACCCCGCGGGCACCACTTGCTGGACCGAATTCTCTGTCAGCTCACCGCCCGTCAGAAACGGGGGTCTCGGTACGGGGTGCTGGAAGCTGCCCCAGTCTTCCTGGGATAAAAATAGTGGGATAATTTTTATGTGGCGCTTCTCCAGGACGAAGAAGCCTCCTCCTCCTCCAGTTTGCTCTGATGTTAATCGGGCGTCGAGGTAATGGACAAGAGCGTTGTGCTGGAAGGAAGAGGAGGGGGTTCCCTGCCAGTGGTGAGCTGCTGCTTGCACTTACCCTGGTGTAAACGGAGTGGATTTCCACTCTTCCCTGGAGCCTGTGCAGAGTTACACCCACGTAACGAGATCCTGTTTCTCTGTAGGTGAGTATTGCTGAACGGATTAGGACATTCACAAGAAAGACCAACAGGTAGAAGATTGATATTTATCTCTCTTCCTGCTTTAGCAGGGGATAAAAACATACTGGGGACAAAGCTTTCCGTCTGTGCCCATGCTGGGAACCCCTGAGGCTCGGGCAGTGCGATCAGGAGCATTTGTGCCCAAGAGAAGCGGGGCCAAGGGCTCTCCTGGAGCACTTCAAGTGCTTGTCTGTGTGGTGGGGCCCTGGGAAGGGGACATTGGGCTACGGAACACTCCGAGCTCTGACTGTACTTGGGCTGTGTGGGGGAGACTGATGTAAACGGCAGTGTGGACATAGACCCACTGAGGACACCTGTAAAGTCAGGAAGGTGCAGGAGTTTGTCACGTAGCATCTCTGTATTAAATGCAGACAAAGATGTATTCCCTGGCTGGTGTTTTTTCAGGGAAAAGCCCTGTCACACTAGGTTGGGGCTCCCAGCACCGAGCGGCCTCTCCAGCCCGCCTTCCAGCGCGCAGCAGGCGAGCCGACAGCAAGACCGAGCTGCGGTCACGGCCCTCTGCTCTTCCAGCGCTGCAGGTGGGTGCCCTATGCCTGTCTGTGCTCGGAGGGTGACTCCAGCTCCAGAACTGGGCTTAAAACGCCAGCAAACCGGAGCAGTGCTGCTTGGCCTGGCTTGGTGTCGGACTGCTCTGGGCTGTCGCGCAGGAGCAAGACCAGAATTCCTCATTTGTTGGGAGCTGAGCGATTGCTGAAAGCCCAGCTGGGAGAGGT